TAGAATAGAAGAAATAAATGAATATTAAGAAATAATAGAATAGAATACGTCAATGCAAGAACAAAAATTATATACATAYATATATATGTATGTATATAATTTTTGTTCTTGCATTGACATGTTTATAGTTAGTTATTGTGATGTTGATTATAAAGGAAAGGATAATACTGATTGAAAACAATATTGATGAGAATTAATGAACGATAAAATTGATATTGTGTGTGGTACTATCACATAAAAGAGACATCTTGAGTTATTAATTTGAAAAGTACTACAAGAAAACAAATTAGTTAGTACTCTCAGGGATAATAGGGACCCATTATAATTGTTTGTTAAATCCCTTAAGTGAGGARATCTTTATGAATCCTTTGATTTCTGCTGCTTCTGTAATTGCTGCTGGATTAGCAGTAGGTTTATCTTCAATTGGACCTGGAGTAGGTCAGGGCACTGCTGCTGGACAAGCAGTAGAAGGGATTGCTATACAACCAGAAGCAGAAGGAAAAATTCGAGGTACCTTGTTACTTAGTTTAGCCTTTATGGAGGCTTTAACTATTTATGGTTTAGTTGTTGCTTTAACATTATTATTTGCAAACCCTTTTGTTTAAATAAATAGACATGAATCTAACAAAATTTTTTGTTAGATTCAGGTCTTCTATTTTTTTTCCTGGCTTAATAGGTGGTATATATACAATATATATCGTCAAACAAAGTTGCCCAGTAAACCGAAGGTAGAGAGGGAGAAGAGGACAACAAACGAGGGGCGGTGACAAACTGTCTCGCTAGAGTTTCACCAACACATATATATATGAGAGCATGAAGGTGACCACAATGTTGAACATAACCAAGACTATTGCCCTCCCCGCCTCCTTTTTTCAAAAGTGCTTGAATGCACAATGAAACCACCTAAGCTCAATAAAGGACAACGATCCATTAACAGGAAACATAGAAAAGGTTGTGGATAGAAACCACATAACGAAGGACAAGAAACACAATCCCCACGGTTTCTCCTCTCCTTCCCTCTGTTCCCCCTTCCCATACGCACTATCGACTGATGCGTGTGAAAATGCTTCGTGCTATGAAGGTTTTCTCTCTCCATCTCCTTTCCCTTCCTCCATTCCCCCCTCGAACAACCATGAGTTATTGATCACTCCCCCAACTCCTCGCGCTACGAGGGATCTCTTCCTCCATCTCTTCTTCCTCCATTTTTTCTCCCTCCCTCTCTTTTTCTCTCCGGTCCTCCCAGATGGAGGAATCCGCGAATGAAAAGGAGAAAAAGAACAAATGAAAACGGACAGAAAAAAAAGGAGCAAAGTGGCGAGGACAACGTAAAGAAGGCTAAAAAACAAGCTTGCACAAGGGCTTGAAAAATACAATCAATAAGCCTGTTAATTCATGGCCACCCTCCCTCCCTCCTTTCTCACCTGCAATAAGGCGACACTATGTCGACCCTCTTAGCTATCAACGACTAAGAGGAGTCACAACAAACTCCTGCTATCTGCTGCAACTTCTGCGTCGGTGTCTGCAGCTGTAGGACATTACGAAAGAGGTCAGAATTGCCACTACACATCAGCAAATGTGTGTTGCAAGCCTTAATACCTTGCAAATCCACCGATAGGAGTTTGTCTACTGATTCTTTTAAGAAAACTTCATATCAGTGAGACTGAGAGATGCTTTGAATAACCTGGGCTTAGGGTTTAAGGATGAAGGTTGAGGATTCATGGTTTCGGGTTCACTGTTCAGGGTTGAGGGTCCAGGAATGGGGGTCTAACAGATAGGTGTTGTTGCTTGCTTTTTAGACGAGTTGCGAGGGTTAATAAACATTGAAGCCGAGCAGGATTCACTATTGCAGGCATCAGGGTATCCGCACATGGCCGTCACATGACATGTGTGCCAGTAACCCACACGAGACACAAAAGAGATCACAAACAACACATGAATAATGCACACTTGCTCCAGACATAGCGCATGTGGGAGTAACCTCCCTCCTTGTCGGCATAGATTGATTGCATTCGACTAATTGGGTGATTGGGCAGACCTATGTCATCAATAGATTGAGTGCTTTGACTGTCTGTTCAGACTGACTGTTTGATTATTTGCTAAGACTGACTGTTTGACTGTCTTCTTCCGTCAAATGATTGGGCTGACTCATTGGTTCGACCTAGTGCTTCAACTGATTGCTTGACTTGGTGTCAGTAGTCGTCTGTAGGCATGGCGAAAGTAGTCAATTGACTCGATTCACTTGGACTGGTTTTCTTGTGACCTGTATTCCCCCGCACTGCCCAGAACAGCAGTAATCGAGACACCCAAGTTTCCCTCAGGTTCCTCATTCGCGGGTCCTCCCAAGCCCTGGCTCATACTCCGGATACCCCGATCATGAGCAGCAACCCCACGCAAAATATAAAACACTTGTTTCGAGACAAAGGACCTAAAAAAACAAATATCATATGCACACAATATTTCAAAACTACGCTGCATTGAAGCTAAAGAGTTAGAATCATGCACTCTCACTCTCTCTCTCTCTCTCTCTCTCTCTCTCTCTCTCTCTCTCTCTCTCTCTCTCTCTCTCTTTCTCTCTCTCTCTC